CAGCTCGAGTTCTTCATCCAGTGGTTCTTCGAGTTCTTCAAGTTCGGACTCGAGCAGCTCGTCGTCATCCGGAAGTTCTCGTTCGGCGTCCCGTTCGCCGAGCCGTAAGCGCAAACACAAGAAAGATCATCGCAGTTCGCTTTCACCACTTAGCAAACGTATGGCCCAATATAATAATCCTCCAGCTGCAGCTGCCACTACTCATGATACTATTGCGCCGGCCTCTTATACTGCGAATACGCGCGAAAAAGTTGACGACTATGAAACTAAAGTACGCAAGTTTCTTGAGCAGACCAAGGATGATTCAGATTACGAAGATAAGGCAAGTGTAATTTCATAATTTATATTTACTTTTTAGGTTTATATTAGTATTAGTATAGTATAGTATATTAGTATTAGTAGTGTTCTTAGTATTATATATATATATATATATATATATATATATATATATATATGTTAAATGTATAATAACATGTTAAATATGTAAAATATAGGAATTAAAATAATACAAGATTATTCTTTTTTTTTTTATGCGAACAGGTGAGAAAATTCTTGGAAGAGACAGCGAGATGGAAGAGGGAAAGGGAAAAGGAAAAGAAACACTCCGAGAGCGAAAAGATGAAGAAAAAGAAGAAGAAAGAGAAGAAGGGAAAAGACAAAGAGAAGGAGGATAAGAAGAGTCGAAAGAAAAAGAAGAAGGAAGAACGAAAAAAGCGTAAAAACAAGGATAAACTTGAACGAGATTTAGAAGCGTTGAAAAAGTCGTCTTTGCCAGATTTGGAACAATTAGAGTCCAAACTTAATGCTTATTATGCGAAGGTTGAGAAAGACTGTGCGGCGTTAAAAAGGTTGGAATCTTTATTGGAATTGTCTCAATACAATGAGTTTAATACATCTCTCTTTCCTTTAAGTTATCCGGTCAACAATTTATATTTAATTTAACTTTGTGTTATAGTGCAATTGTCGTTTTTACGCTATTTTTATATCCTCAGCTAACGCAATTAAACGGAAATTACGCGGTCGTCAGATATCGTATTCTACTTATGTTTTTATATTTACTAGGTATGTAGCACAGTATAATGACATACCTTCCCCTCTTAGCAACGCGGAGAAGCTCGCTGAGAGTTCACGGAGGGAGGAGGAGCTGCGCAGAGAAAGGGAAAGAGAGAGAGACGAAGCTTCGAAGGCGTATCACGAGCGAGAATCCAGGATGCCGATGACTGCTCAACAAAGGAAAGGTATATATATATATACAAAAAAAATTATACATTTGCTACCATGCGTCATATAAGCGTGACATTTTTCACGCATTGATTCTCACGAGAGTTCGACATTTATACGCGTGACAGAACAGTAGTGCCAAAACTTTGGCTGTAGCGGGCGGTTTTTCAATTGCATAGTGGTACAAATGTATTACAAACAAATGTATTACAGCATACAGTAATAACACATATAATAATACAGTAAGATTTCACTATAATTGTTTGTTCGTAGAAATACAGAGAAAGCCACTGACAGACATATTTGAACAAGAATCCCAATTGATTCATCCAGAACCAAAACTGCCTACGTTAGATACCGCTGCATTGAATGCAAAATGGAAAGCTGCGCAAGCTGCTAGGTGAGTGCATGAAGCATATTCAATAATCTAACAAAATTTAATCTCTCGTTTTACTCACATCGAAATAAGTACACATGTAAATGGATGCAATGAATGTTTCGATTCGCTTTAAAATCATATTCGGCAAAATTGGCGGTGAATTATTAATGTATTAACAAAAGCGCTTTTATTTACATTTTTTTGTATTTAAAATGAATTTATTATTTACTGGTTCTCATGCTCTCTTTACATGTGTTTATTTGGATATCGTGTATTGTCAGAATCTCACGATTTTCACTTATATTAATGGAATGAATTTAATTTTACCTGTCTGCAAGTTTATACGTTAACGTATGATTTTAGGCAAAAGGACGTTCCTCCGCAAAAATGGCAAGATATTCCACCGGAAAGCAAGAAGATGCAATCCAACGTTTTTGTGGATAGCGACGAGGATGATGATAACGAATTGGAAGAAAGAATTCAACGCGCAGCTCTCGAAAAGTCCTTAAATATACGAAAGCAGATGCAACGTGAACTTGCCGAGAAGAGAGCACCGCCACCGCAGCCTGCACCGACGCCTCCACCGCCATTGCCGAAAGAGCCTCCGATGCCAAAGCAAGCACCCGTCAAATATCCTACGCCGCAACCGCAGAACAAATTCCAATCGTACAAAGATCCCGCTATTTCCATCTCGCAAACAACGCCGACCAAGTTTGGCTCTAGCAACAATTTGGGTGGCAAGTTTCAGCCGATCGGTCAAAACAGTGGAACTGGACATCCGCCCGAACCACCGCGCCCTCCACCACCAGCGAAGAACCAGAATCAGGCCAAAGGGCCGAGAACCGATTCCGATAGCGAGGCCGAGCGAGGTCAACATCGGCAGACTCCAAAGAAACGCGAATCGAGCGGCAGAGGCGGCGTGAGTAAACGTATGAGTAGAGACCGTCCAACAAAACGATCGCGCAGTCGATCTCGCAGCGCGTCCAGTTCAGGCTCGTCGAGATCTCGATCGGCCAGACGAAGCCGTTCGCGGTCTTATTCGAATCGACGATCAGGCAGTTACGAGAGGAAGTATAGCAGATCTCCGTCGGGTACGTACAGCAGATCGCGATCACGATCGCGTACTAGATCGTATACGAGAAGTCGTAGCCGCAGTAGGTCAGGCGACCGAAATTACTATCGTAATAAGAGACAGTTTCGGCCGTACAATAATCGCGGCACGTACTATAAGCCACGCTTCCAAGGCTTCAACAATCCGAATCATCGCGGAGGTGGTAATAATTTCCAAAACCGGAATCGTTTCTACAACAATCAGCACAACAATCGTTTCGGCAATCGTCGCGGTGGCGGATTCAACAATCGTGGCGGCCGTGGCGGTCGTGGTAATCGTGGTGGCAGATTCTTCCACAACAAACAAAATTTCCGTGACTTCCGCGACAGGCGAGACTTTAGAGATCGCCGTGCATCGTCGCGTGATCGATATAGCGATCGCAGCTACTCGCCCGATCCGATGAGGAAGGTGGACGAAGCAAAGGAGAAGATCAACAAGATGCTCGAAGGTGGCGATGACATCGAACATCAACAGGGTGGCAGTGGTGGCTCGACCGTACCTCCTAATAAAAGGCAAGCTGGACCCTTGAGCGAAGGAGAGGAGAGGGACGATGATGACTATGAGAGGTGGGGAGAGGGAGAGGGGGGCGATGCAGCTAACACTAAGGTTGGTTAGACTCTGCGTAGGTTTTCGGCATACGGCAAATGGCCGGTTCGTCTTCTTTGCGATGACGATCATGATAACAATTGACGATAAAAGCGAGGAATAACTGACAGAGAAAGTGACGATGATGATGAATAATGATGATGATGATGATGATGATGATGATGATGATGATGATCAGCCACACGCGCGAGGAACAAACTAACTCTCGTTTGTTGCCAGAATGAAGGGGTTGAGCCTGTCGACGATAACCTGGAAGGCAAGGAGTACTTCATTGAGCGCATGAAACAGCGAAGCAAGAACGTTTTAATGCAGAGAGCCATTGCAGCTAAAATTTGGTAGATATTGCCGCCGCCGTCGCTGCTTCTCTGTGATACGATCGCTACTTTCTTCAAGTTGTTCTTAATTAATCGACCGATTGATACATAGGGCATATTGAGACACTTTTTAGCTTTAGTAATGATCACTCTTTATCTCTTTTGTTATCTTTCAAACTGTCATAACCGTATCTCTGATTAATCTTGATAATTCCTTTTTTTTTGTTTTTTTTTTGTTTTTAAATGTGTTGTCTTAATTTTTCTTCGTTTAATCCAAACGTGAATTAAATTAAAAAATTAAAATTTAATCAAGATTAAAACTTAAAATCTAACCAATATAATATTAAACGAATATCAATGTAATCAATTACGGCTATTATACAAGATATTTTTTCATAAATGTAGTTTTATCGGCATTTTAGTAAATATAATTTTGTCCTAATCACATATATTTTATGGATTTTAAAAATAAGTTTATCTGAATTTGAATCAAGAGAAATTTCTTTTATATGTATTTATCCAATATATACACGCATATATATATTGCAATTTACTCTTGTATAGTGTATCGATAATAATTAGATTTTTCGTTCATTTTTCGATCAATTCATTAACATGCAATAAGTACAGTGTAAAGAAAAAATATAACTGGCGAGTGGCTTTTCATTATCATTCGTTATCAGAAACGGAAGTGAATGTTCTTTTAATTGCTATCTAATGGCGTATTCATTTTATACGATTGAAAACGAGGAGAAGGAACATTCGTAGTTACATTGAAAAAAGCACGATTAATTAAAGTGAGAGAACTATAGCGCGTTTCTATAAATTCTCAAAATCTAATCTCGTGCCATTAGAGCTCGTATATCGAATATGCCTAACAATAATAACTTTTAAAAACTTCCGTTTCGCTTGATCTTAATAATTATAAGAACGAAATTGCACAGCATCATAATAGTATCTCCAAATTCAACGTCTTTAATTTTCAGAAAAGGATTATCGGGTAAAAAAAAAACACAAATATGATATTAATCTCTTTATTACGATTGTTTAGTTTAAGCTATAATAGACGGTAATTTTGGTAGAGTAAGATAATACCTATATATACATATATACATATATATATGTTGTATGTAAATCAAGTTGCTGTACAATTGAAAGTTCCACAAATATATAACACAAAACCACTGCAAGAAACTCGTTACGACTTTCAGCTAAAGGAAATGAATGTATTTTCCTCTTCCTGTGTCCAAGTATATCTAACGACCTTTTAGTCGCGATTTATAGCACGTCGCGTCGATATCGAGAATCTGCATACGAGGAAACTAAACTCGTTGGTATCAATGGTGCACCAAATTGATATCAGGAGAGTACTTAAGTCCAACGGTGCACGCATTTTTCTCACATATTCCTCGAAACTACCTAGGACACAATGAGATTCTTGGAAGCGCGATTCATGCTTTTCGCTTTCGCTGTTCTTTCCGATGTTTATTGTTCCGATGATTTGGACGCTGTGTATGTCGGCAAGGTCGGTGAGAGTTGTAAGTTGTATTGTTTGAAACACACATTTCTCTTTTACGTTGTTTGCAAATTCGTACGAGATTGAAATTCCCAAGCGAGAAATTTCAATCGTACGGAAAGTATAACGGGTTTTTTTCTTAATATATATCATTTAGAGAAAGTGTTTTTTTTTTTGGTTCTCTAGATGTAGATTATCAAAGCTATCAAGATCTCGACACGTTTCTTTCCGTGGAATGCGAGAAACACGAGGAGTATAGCGAGTGTTTCGGGGATCGGACGTGCCAGAAAACGTGCGAGAATATGGATCAGTGGGAAAAGATGAGTTGCGCCAGGAGGAAAGTCTGCATTCGCGGTTGCATCTGCGAGGACGGCTACGTACGGGATAATTACGGCGGCGTCTGCATCAGGGAAAACAACTGCCCCAGAGTGAGACATTAACTTTGCGAGAAGCAGAACGAGAACGTCAAAAGTTAATAAAAGAGTCCGCGTGACTTGTGTGTAATAAACAGGCGAAAAGAATTGATTATGAGATGCGGAAACGAGCGAAATTTATCGAGCTTCATTAATACAAATGTGCTTTTAGGAACCACTCTTTTATGTACTATGCGTAATTAATTGCGAGTGATTCAACGCAAATGCATCTTGTGTCAACGTCTCGAAATAAAAACGATCGTCAGAAAAGAATACCACGATATAGTTTAAATTGGATAAATTATACATTCCTCAAACGTGTTTGCGTACATCGACGTTGCGTTCGTGCACCTGCGTATACATGCATTCCGTACGATAAACGCGTCTCGCTGTTTAGCATTCGCTTACTCAGAACTGCAGGACTCGATAAAAGGTAAAAGGAACACGCAAGTATAAGCTTTATCGTACCGCGAGCCATTTAAATTCCATTTCAAATTCACTGAAGCCTGAAGCGAAGCCGCCCCACTCGTAGACTTTCATATGGTGCATTTCTACTAATCGAGAGACACGGCGAGAGGGACCTAACGCGGCGCGTGTCTTTGGCAAATAATTTCAAGAGCCGGGTGCGGTTAATTATGAAAAGGAAAGGTAAGATTTGCGAGGAATTTCGAATTTTTATCGACCTTTATTTCTTTTCCCACAGGACGACTTTTTTTCTCGCGGCTCTACGCCCGTCGAGAGGAAATGTCTCGCTGATGGCGGTCGAGAGGGCGAAATTCCATCGCGATGCAACGCTTGACAAAATCCCACGTTGCTCCTAACTCGCACGACTTGTCGAGATCCGGTGTCGGTGGCATCGTGTAACCACGCGCACGCATACAAACCAGCCAGTCTTCGTACCACGCGCGCGCGGTCGTTGCTGTTAGTCCGCTCCGATCGGCGGTGGTGATGCGAGCGAGCGAGCGAGCGGGGCGGGGCGGGGCGGGGCGGTGCGGCTGTTTCTCTCTTTTCCGTGACTTCCTCCCGTGCGAGGCAGGCGAGGCCAGCCTCGGTCGGCCTCGGTCGTCCTTGCCCCTTTTGCTAGGCAGCACGTCCGTTACCATCTACTAGCTGGCGCGAAAACATCAACTCATTCCCAACGGATTAGAAAGGCTCGCCAGCCTTTCGGGGCCTCGGGTAGCGATGGGTACCGATCCAATTCTCTCGGTGACGGAACACATCGGAAATCGGACTACGCTCTACGCGCTATCGTAATGAACTTTCGATCAACTTTTTAGGGACAGAGGAGAAAACAAATATGACCAAAAAATGGTGTGGCTTGAGGACGACAGAGAGCAACGGGACTGAGAATTTACGGCGTGCTGCTAACATTTTGAAATATGGACTCTGCCGAGGACCAAATGCACGTTTAGGATCAGAGTGCTTGATTTACAACCTGTTTCAAACAGATCAAGATTACGGCTGAAGTAGGATATTGAGATAAACATAGCTTGCAGCCGCAAGTATTCACTTTTTGTCGGAGATTATTAATAAATATCCAAAAAGGGTTTACGGACACAAGGAAGATTAATATACATTTAAAATTGCGAATACATCATCTCACTTATATATAACGTTTATTCGTTTACGCTTTGTTGACGATTTAAATAACTTTTCGGTAATCTTTCACGTCTGCATTTCAATTCAAACAAAAGAGACTATAACAATCTCGTAAATTTATTGTTTTATGTTGTAATGAATAAATATACTCGAAATTTATATGCTAATTATAAATTTTGCAGAAAAAAAGGACGCAATGTTAACTAATAAAATACAATGTAACCATGATGGAGGAGAACCTTATCGACGATTAAATGATAATTGATGAAAAATCACGGTTGATCCCATCGCTAGCATGGGGGAATCTTCTCTCTCCTCGTCTCTCACGAACCATTCACGCGTAGGAGGGAAAGTTACCGGGAATTTCTTCCTCCCTCCATTCTCCTCTCTTCTCTCCTGGCATCGCGTTTCCTTCGGACACCTCGACGGAAGCTGCGACCTCGGCGATCGGCGCTTGGTCACGAAAACGAACGAACGGAACAAAGCAGGCGCGTGCTTTTTGTCAAGCGCGCGCCGGAAGGGCCGGCAGGAAACGTCCGTGTAGGTACCGATTCTAGCCACGTTCGAGACTGTCGGACTCCCCCTCTCAAGTTTCGGCTCGAATCGATGAAATATTCGTTTAGCACATTGCGAAAAATCTCTGGAAATCAAATTCTCAGAGGAATATTTCGAGAGCGTACAACGAAATAGACATTCATCGGTCGCGCGCGCATTTACATATGACAGATTCAAACTATTCCGCCCAAGATGATCTCTATGCGTTAGTATTTATTTTATTATTTTACCCTCTATAAAGAGAGAAATTTATTCGAGCCGCGTCACGATCTGCGTATCTCATTTGCATGCGTGTACGCGGGAAGATCCGAGAAAAGAACGGCGACACGCGGCATTACCTACCGCGAGAAAGACCGCCGATGAATTATGGTCCAATTAAGATCTCGCGTCCGACATTTACCGTCTCGCTCTCCATCTCTGGCCGATAAACATTAGCTGACTAATGTCTACATTTAATATACCAACGGTGGCATCTTGTAACGAAACTTGGCACGCCCTAATAATGTCATTAGAGATATTACTTGTCGTCGCACTGACAGACTCGAAAAAGTTTCCCGCACGTGCATCGAATACGGTTAAATGATAGATTCAAGTTAATTATTTCTCCGTGTCGTCAATGTTGACAATCAATAATGATATACTTGGATATTTGTGAAATTTACATCGACTCGACGGTCGTATATTGAAGAAAAATATTTAGATACGCAACACCCATGTCTGGAGAATGCACAAGTGTATAATTTCACATGTGCCGAGATATTCTTTCGATTTAAATTGAATATAATGTAGTATATATATATATATATATATATATATATATATATATATATGTAATTCCTATACGCACATTTAAATTAAATAATTTTGAAAAGAAGGAAAATGTACAATGTATTTGTCAGATTGCAGGTCTTTGTTCTTCCGCATTTGGCAAATCTCCCAACGTGCGCCAATCGCCGATCGGCACCTCGGTAAATGTACAAGTAGCCCATAAATGCACGAGGGACGATAAGCATGCTGTGCGATGAATCACCTGCATCGTCGTTGTCACCGGATTCACGACAGCCGTTACGTTGCCCATCACCTCTCGGAATCTTTTCGACCGCGCAACCGGATGTATAAGATGAAACGAAGACGAAGCGAGATGTAAAGAGGGTAAAGAAGACCTCGCATTCCTTAGTCATTATGAATGCGATATAGCCACGACGATTTATATAGCGATGGATTAAAAATGAAATGTGATCGACAACCGAGCCGAGTCTTTACCGACGTAATATATTCTTGCACTTTTTTCCTCATTCATTGTGCCACAATTTATATAGACATGTGCAATTTGTGCCGAAAGCACAAAGATGTTTGCGAGCGTGACAAATGTATGTCCTACACGTGTGTCTGAAGCGTGGAGAGTTTAAAGAATTTGTTTCCATCGATGAAGCGGAAAAAGAAGATCATTACGGGGCCAAAGTTTCTTCATCGTGAATATTTTTGCATTATCTACACGCCATCGTTTTATTATGTATGTAATGTTTGATAAATTTTGTAATTGTTTTTTTTTTCTTCTTTATTAACATAACCGCGCGTTCGCGTTGCGCATACCGACGTGCATTATCTTCCGGAACGTGTTCAGAGACGCATTTCTGCAATGAAAGCAAAAAAAGAACAAAAAGAATGTCGTGTAATGATTCATCGATTAATCCTTGCCCGGTCTTGGCTCGTCCCGTTTGTCGCGTTAACATCCAAATTGAATAGCTATACGATATAAAAATGTACATTACGTCATAGAATATATCCGAGCGAGAAGGCATTGCGGTTACTCGTCGAGATTGCTTGATTTATTCAAGTGTCGGAAACTGCATCGGCTTATTAGAGGATGTATAAAATACGAGCGCATAGTTGCAACCGCGATATACTCGTCCCCTTGACCGCTCCCACCCTCCGCCTCTATGCCCCTCTATCCTCTCCCCGCATCGCGGTACCGGTCTTTCGCCGTGAAACCGATAAATTATGCATTCCATTATTCATGCTCGCTCGCCATAATCATGTACCGGCGGTTGACAAGATCCTGTCATGCTTTACAGGCCTCTCGGCTCCGCGTTTGTTTGCTACTTCGAGGTAAGGAGGACCGTTTACGGCAGTGACTGTGAGCTATTCAATTTACCAGCTTGAATACGGCTAAGCTTTGAGGATGCAAGGATCGTAGGATAGAAGAAGACGCGGAAGAAGAGACGCGGAACGCCCGTCTAGTTGAGTCCGCGCGAAACTCAAAAGACCAAAAATGCCGGAAAGTAATAAATTATTTATAAGCTACACTCTCTTAAGAGGCTATCGCAAAGTTTCACGCTCGTCTTTCTCGCACGCTCATGCTCGCATATTCGAATCAAGTGCTGGATGTAATTGTAAAATATTTAAAACGAAGGATACCTTGTACGAGCTATTATTGCGTATACATCCCTCGTTTAATTTATTGTACAGATAATTATTGCAGATAAATATATAAAGTTGCTTATCGTTGGACGCGATGGCAATTGAATAATATCAAACAATATTCTCAATTTTTCTTCGGATGCACGTTAATGTATTTCAATTACATCCGTTTAAATATTAAATCTAAATATAAAGGGATTGAGAAAAATTATAAGCGTGTGTAATTTTCTATAATATATAATTGACAAAACGGAGAAGGAGACACGAAACAATTGCGCGATTATAAACATATATAAAATTTGTGACTTTATGAAAAGAAATTAGATATTAATCCAATGCAAGAGGTAAAAAATAATAAACTTTAATTTCTTTTATTATTTACGTTATATTTGAAATATCGATTGACTAATAATGACCCGTGATCTTTAAGGATTTATACATCGTCGCCAGGAGGCTTAAAATTGTAAACTCGAACTCTCTCGGCGATTCAAAGTAGGAAGTAAACGTACCGTGCGCGCATTTTCGAACGCGCCGTATATTCGTTCGGCCGTGTTCGTCGGCGCTCGGTCGTCTTCGGCGCCGCGATCACCCCGCCACGCAGCGCCCCCACTCCGCGGCGTCTCGGCTAGTCGCTCGTCGTTGTCAGTCGTCGGTACGCCGTAGTGGGGAGACGAGACCTGAGACCGAGAGCGACGCGCGCACGCTACGGTGGGAGCCGTGGGAGGTTCAATTGTCGGTGAATCGTTGCGATGAGCGGTCGGGTGCGTGATAAGGGTCGAGCGAGAGATTAAGAGCGCGTGCCCCCGGCTGCTGCGATCGGTACGCGTCGAGAAGGAGCACGACGTGTTTTGTTTCGATCGCCCGTTTCGTTTCGGAGACGAGTGTCGGCGTGCGCGCGCACGCACGCCGGGCAGCAAACTTCACACGGGTAGCGCGCGGCCGGAGTGCTCGCTGGACGATCGATTCGGTCGATCCGATTTCTTCCTTCTTTGTTTTTTTCTTTTTCTCGACACGTCGATATGTGTTTGACGGCCTCGACATACGTAACCTAACCTGATCGGCGCGCGATAGCGACGCGATATTTCGTGCTCCGTGACGTTGACGAAAAGAAATGCTCCGAGCGCGCGCGTGCGTTCGCGTTTATATCGTAATCGCGCGATCGAAAGAGAGAATTGGCTGTGAGTGAAAAAGAAAGCAAGGGAAAAACGCTCTCAGTGTGTGCATCGCTTTCTGGGATTTCTACATCGTCAACGTGGTTTTTGTGCGTGGTTTTCTGGAATTTTCTGCAGTTTCGAGATTCAACTTTTTTTGTGACAAGAGCCCTGGCAGCAACGGCCATGACCGCGGACAGCCTGTTCGAGACTACCAGCATCCCGGGGCACCTCGCTCCCACGCCCGAGAGACTGGAGAGACTTCTCTCGAAACAGACCCTCGAGGAGCTCTACGAGGTCGAGGAACAGCCTTTCGCACGGTAAGTTACGACTCTCTCTCTCTCTCTCTCTCTTCTCCCCTTTACTTTTCTCTCCTCTTTCCTCCCTACTCTTGATCTCGCCATTCTCTTTCCCCCCCGGATTGTCTTTGTCTTCGGGTAACCTAACGAGGATTAGACCGCTTCCGACCTGCGCGACTCCGATGGCCTCTCGAGGTCGAGCTCATCCTCTTTTGTGTGTGTTGTGCTCTCGATGTCTATCAATATTTATGCTCGACTCGATAGCTGTAATGAACGCTGGTATAGTTTTTTGCTATTATTATCAACTTTGATACAATATACTCGTATTATATTATACATAGATAGCACGATATCGTCAAATTCCGCGTAAGAAATTTAACGCGACAGTTTAATGGCATTCCCGCTAACGAGTGATATTTAGTTTATTTAATTGCACATTTACGAATATATATTCTGTCAATGAGATAACACATAGTTGTTTAAAAAATGGCACGAGAGAGAAACGCAAGGCATTGATGGGTAAAGATAATATTGATATCAATTTCGCAATTCTCTTAAATGAAACGTGTGTTGAGTAAATAAAGTAGTAGCGGAAAAAAGTGTCAATGTAAATTTAAAAAGTAAATTTATTAAAATCTGAAAAGGGAAATTTTAAGAATCAATTTGTAACGGTAAGAAGAAAAAATTTGATACGTTTTCAAATCTGTTTAATATATATTTTGCAATATACATTTCGTATTACAATAAAATCAAGTATGATATTATATCTATGACATGTCGAGATGTAGAAAATTACTGAGACTGTGTAGAAAGTCGATGATAGATACGCGCAAAGAGAAAGGCCGATAAGAAAAATATATTTGTATTTCTTATTCGATACGATGACGCGGAGTTTTCGATGTCGCGAGATTATTGATTGCAAATTTATACGCAAAGTGGAGCAACAAAAGATTATGGAGAAAATGGAACATGTCGGGGGTTTCAATTGCACTTTCATTTCTGGTATATACTATATACTGAAAAAAGTAGCAGCAAAATATATTTTTCCTTAAAAGAATAATATTTAAATAAAAAATAATATGTATATTATAATTTATAATACTCTTTTATATTATATTATTTTATTATTTATTTATTTATTCTTTGCAACTTTCAGCATTGCAAGCTTTACAATAATAGTCAAAGTTATAACCATTGATGGATATATAAAAACATAAACGTAATGTAATGAAATGAATACTAGAAGTGAAATTTAGAATCTAAAATCGAAAATGACAGGCAAAGAAAAGATTACGGAAATAAATTTTAACGAGCTAAATAAATCAAAACGAGCCAATTCAAAAACTGAAATAAAATTACAGCGAAATTGAAATTGAAATTAGACTTGACGTTAACGTTAAAATTAAAGTGAAAGTAAAAGGTAAAAATAAAATGTCATTTACACATATTACTCTAATCTGGAGTAAAATAAAAATTATATTTCTTTTACCTCTCCTCCTTTCTTCTTCTCCTCACTTTCACTCTCTTCTTTTTGCATGTTATATTAAAACAATATATAATATTTTTATACATACGCACACAAATGTCTCGCTCCTTAAACGAATTATCCGATTGTGCGCGACGCGATTTAATGCTATTGTATGAGAGCGTGAACGTGCGATTTATCATTAAAGGGGATAGATGCGTGCAAAGTAACGTGAGATGCGAGTAATTAGTATTTTGTGACACGCGCGTGACTCGATGAAATCACTTGCAGGTTTAATGGAGGCGCAATCTTGAGAGATTTTGAAATATGTATATATCATATACGTGTTTCTATGTATTTATCATATATATATACACACGTACGTCGTAGCAAAAATATCATCGATAAAGTCTAGTGCGTCTTAAAAAATTGAAATTTTTTATTTAATTATCTTAATATGATAAAATATCATTAAAGTTATTTGCGCGTAATTTAAGTCTCACGATATCGAAAAGATTAATAACATATAAACACAGTTATAGCTTTCATGTATTTCAAGTAGTAAATTGAATCAATTTTGATAAATTTTTTAAAAGTTTTAACAAAGATGAACAGACTTTTATCGCGTCGTCACATTTTGTATCATAGGTGCAATTACATTCAATCGTTATACTAAAATTAATTACACGTGTAGGATATGTGCGTATTTGAAAAAAACATGCTTGTATTTCCCTCTTATAATTAGTGTGATTCTCCTTTAATTAATTTTTCGCAGATTGTTCGCGTATCGAGCTTGCGTAACCGCTTGTTAATTCACGCACATCGACGGGAATATGCTCGTTATGGAACCATTTCACACGTGTCTACGGTTTTTTAGCGTTATACCGCAGAATAATAATGCCACTTGTTGCAATAGGTCGTTACGCGTTACAAGAATATAACGACTTTTAATGGGAAACATATTTTCTATTATTGTTTCGATATTTTTAGCATCATTTGTTTTACTAATTTTCGTTATATGAGAATTATTTGGCTAATGTAGCGAAATATATCACTTTTAATGTCTTAAAAATGTGTGAAAAATAACAAGCATTTATAAATTTTATCCGTGCAAAGAGAAAGGAGGAGAGAGAAACGTGATCGATGAATACAAAATAATGAGAAAGAGAGGATTATAGTTTAATAGGATTGCGCAATTTTTAATGTTTTCTTGCGTTTGATATTCAACGATAGAAGAAAAGGTGACACTAAATTATTTCATCTCCAACGACAATAACGACGGTGCGAATTTCTCTTTAATATATATTATTTATAACACATAACCATATCATAATTCATACATTTCACGGCGCGATCATTTCATTCGACTAGAGGCCTCGGGCCACCCTCGCTTCTCGAGACCCTCTTCTTTCGTGAAAGAAAGTGTTCCTGCCGCGAGATCGAGGTCGAGACTTTGTCTCGATACTCGCTCTTTGATGACCTCGCCTGGACTCCCGCAGCTCTCTTCTTCTTCCAAAGGTATCGGTCGGTGGAAGAAACGAGAAAAAGATCACGAAACAGTTTTTTCCAAAATTGTACAAGTTTAAAATTTTTGGCTAAAACCAAAAATCGCCAATAAACAATTGAACACATTTGGAAAAAAAGTTGCGGAAAAAATTTTCGGATAGCGTCCATATATTTGAAGCACGGTCAATTTTCTGTCCGCGATGAGCTTATTAAATTGGCGAGATACATACATACGTACGACACACGTATTTAATTGCACGCATGCCGTAAGATTAGTCAGCTTGCAACGCGATACGTCAATAGGGTCACCAATGTCGATTACGGAAAGAATGGAATGTCTCAATTGCGTAAATGCAAAGGAAAAAACGAGGCTCGTGAAAATAAACGGGAAATTAATTTGCGTGTAAAATTATCGCATACGTTACATTGTTTTATACTCGATCACTCGGACGGATGACCGGTCGTGTTGGGTCACGTATGTGGCCTCTGTGCGAGATTGCGGAGCTAAAAAAGCAAATGGAGCGAAACGACGAAAGCGCGGGGAAAACACGAGGTTCGAGATTAATCGCGATAGCGCTAATTAACGATTAACCGGCTGTGCGTATAAATCTCATATATATATCGCGTTAAGAACGCTGGAAATATGCAACCGTAAATTCTCAACAAACTTTAACGCGTTACACAGATATAATATCCGATAATCGGCAAGTCGCTAAACATTTTATCTATGGCTTGTATATATTTCTGCGACTAGAAAAAGACTCGTTACAACCCTTCCCCTTCCCCATTCTCTCCCTCTTTCTTCTACATCTCCTCCAAGCAAAGTATTTTTAATATATCAGCCGTTTATTTGGAAAGTGACCTAAGTCCATTTATATTTAAATTGAGATATTTAAGAGTTTGCGTTTGAATAAAATTAAAAATAATAAAAAATAATTGACAAATGGGCTTAGGCCCCTTTCAAAGTAAACGGCTCATATACGTCACAATACACACGCAACACGTGTCACATTCTCTCGTGCAAATAATCTCAAGCGACTATTGTACATTAATTTACTGCAAATAATAAAGTGTTAAATTGTCCGTCTTGAAAATTTTCCAATTTGCACATTTGATGCGTCGTGCGTGTTGTATGTGCGTTGCAACTTGGTTCTTAACGACTGGACGCACCCGAGACCTTCCTGAATGGCGTTAAGCACCGTCAAGATTTATGCAAACCGTCAATCATTGCGCGTGATAGCGCATCGTGACGGCGCGACGTCGAGCGAAGAAAAAGTATCGGATAATAATCGCCGCCGCGATTATGTCTCTTTGCCAAACACCTGCCGCGTTCTAGAATTTCTCACGAGATTCGCCCGGCGAGCGCGCAAGCGGGAATAATTTCATAATGCCAACGATTATCTCGACGCGTCCGTGTACCTCGAACGAGACCTCTTTTCCTCGGTGCAGTTTGCGCGCAAAGGTACCGGATTCTCTTGGCTCCCCGATGTGCTTTTATGCGCGGTGAATCTCTACATCTCTCCTCCTTTCGCTTCTTGAAAAGCTATCGTGAAAAGCGGAAAGAGAGGCAATAACAATGAGAAAAAGTTGATTTTCTTGACAAGTAGCATGATGATAATGTAAACTTTGTAGAAGGAAGAAAATATCGAGCTGCTTTCTACTTATTATTAGCGCGATCGACATTTCGTCTGCTGCAAAAGATGCAAATGGACAAAAGCATCCGATTCAATGAGTACATCAATGCGGACGTACATCGCGTAAAATTGAAATTTAATTATCGAGGCGATCAAGTCGCACCGCGCGCGCGTGCAAAAAGTTACGTATAATTTATGTGCGCGTTCGCGTTTACATTTTTGCCCGGATCCAGCGACGCGTATCTCAATCGCATGGCATCGCGCCGATGTTTATTTTTGCGACACCGGGGGCATCGGGGATATCGGGTCCGAGCCGAGCGTACGTACAAATTATCGCACGTGTGAAAAAGAATCCTGCGTTGCGCAATTTTCTCGCGAGGACGGAAATCGCGCGAGCTCCCGCCGTGCGATTCGAT